ACCCCTTTTTTGGACTCTTGCGGTTGACCAACTATTGTACAAAATGGCAGACCTATGCATTGATACATTGGGTTATGCTGATGACCTTGTGATCATTGCGAGGGGCTTTTGCCAAAGTACTTTATCGTCAATAATACAAAGAGCCCTAAACACCATAAATAACTGGTGTAGGGATAACAGTTTATCAGTTAATGCTGATAAAACTGTTATAATACCCTTTACCAAAAAGGGACGGTTGGACAAATTACTCCAACCAAAACTTAATGGCAAAGAAGTACCATTTTTCACGGAAGTTAAGTACTTGGGCGTAACTATCGACCAAAAACTAACGTGGAACTCTCACCTTAGCAACGTATGCCATAAGGCAAAAATTGCTTTAGGTACGTGCAGTCGTTTGGTCAGGAACAACTGGGGCTTGCGTCCCAGTATGGTCCTACGGCTGTACAGAACGATTCTCACTTACACTCTCTATTGTCTGGTGTAACAAGGCCAACCAAAAGACGACTGCAGACAGACTAAATAGTCTACAAAGGACTGCCTGCTTAATGGCAACTGGAGCTATGCGATCATCGCCTGGAGCGGCTCGTAATGCATTTCTATGCCTAACGCCCCTTGATCTCTATCTAGACAAGGAGGCGAGGGCTAGTTTGTATAGGATTAACACCCAGGGAGGTCTGAGCTTGCTCTCCTACAGATTGAGATCCATGCTCGACTCAATTAAGGAATCATGCGTCCACTACACACTTTTGATAAAAAGTATATAGTGGAATTAGAGCCTCCAGAGAAGATTGGCTGAATGGCCAGGTTATCTGTGAAGTCGGTAGCCTTATATGGTATACCGATGGGTCTAAAATGGGCCTCGACGTAGGCTTTGGAATTTACGGAGAACGCCCCAAGTTCAAACTTAGTATGAATTTGGGTAGATACACCTCTATCTTCCAGGCAGAAATTTTCGCCATACTTCGGTGTGCGGAAATCAATCTGCAAAAACACTACGCCAACCATAAAATTTATATAAACTCTGATAGTCAAGCAGCACTGCTAGCGCTAAGAACAAACTTAGTGAACTCGAAGCTAGTTGGAGGCTGCGTGAACCGTTTAAACGCCCTGGGATGTAACAACAGGGTCGTTTTAAGATGGGTTCCGGGTCACGCGGGTATTGTAGGCAACGAATTTGCCAACAAACTTGCACGGGAGGGCTGAAAGTGCACACAATTTGGATCTGAGCCATTTTGTGGAATCTCAAGAAGCCTAGCCCGATTGACCCTTGAAACTCTTTATCACACTAAATCACTTAAGATCTGGTCTGACACACCAGGCTTAAAACATTCTAAAACATTAATCCGGGCTTTTGATCGTAAATTCGCTTCACAAGCCCTGGGACTAAGTAAAAATAAATTGCGCGTTCTGGCAAGAGCCCTAACTGGACACCGTTGTCTTAAAAAGCACATGTCCATCCTGGGACTAAGCAACTCAAGGATGTGTCGGTTCTGTTCCATAACGGAAGAAACGCCTCTACACATCCTAACCGATTGCGGACCCTTAATGCGCAAACGTAACACACATCTGGGACACTATCTACTCTAAGCAACTCCTTCGATTCATTGAAGACATAGGGCTTGGCCGTGAACTATAGCCATAGCAGCGATCACAATAGATCTTTTAGGTCGCAGTGATACTGGTCTCTTTACCTAGACCTGCATAGCTACTCGCATATAATAAAAAAAAACTAGTGAGTTTAATGTATATATATACACTCGCACTGTTAGATAATACGAATATCTAAAACCTATCTGGATTTTTTGGCTATATAAATAAAAAACATACAAATGTTTAAAGTTTTATTTATTTATAATATTAACAACAACACAACCTGTTTAATACACTGGTTCTCCTTAGCGATTCAACTGCCATATAATTTGGAAGAACATTGTCATACAAATAAATATTATATTATAGTTATGTACAATTTTATTTCAGGTTAACTATAGAAACAATGATCGAATTGTACAGACCTAGATTTACCAACCCGTTGTGTCCCTAAATATATCGTAAAAACTGCTGTAAGACTTGTTACAAAAAAGAGGAGATAATGTGTAATCATAATCATTTATTTGTATGAAATTTTATGGGCACACAGAATGTTAAATTAAGTTATAACACAGAACATGTTCCACCTCTCTACCCCCTAGCGGTCTCATAAGGTCGCTGTGGGTGGGCCACAGCACTTTAATCCATAAAAACTTATATATAGAGACTACTTTTCTTGAATAGAAATCTATTCTTTCTTTTTTGAATATTTGTTTATAATCTACGTTTATTTCATACGCCATTTTGTGTGAATGTTATTGTGTTGATTTTTGGATTTTTCTAGTGTTTTAGTGTAGTGTTTTATTATAAAATTGTAATGAAAGTTTTTGTGTGAATATAATTTATCTATTTACGTAAATAATTTCGAGTAATATATATTGAAATAATTGTGATTTTCACGCTGCCGACATTCGCTTGGTATGTTTTTTTTTTTTGTTATCAAGATACAAGAAAATCTTTTTAAAATGAAGTAAAACCTGACTTTTGTTTAGACGAGAAAATAGAGAATTTTTTATAGATTTTATAGTGCTAAACTTCTTCATAGGAAAGTAGTCTCTAATATAAGTTTTAATGATTTTACGTACTGTGGGTGGGTGCGGTCGCATGCGACTGCTCAGGATATGCCGGGCGCATGTGACTGCATGGGATTTTTATAGACCTTGAAGGGTTAACCTTCATTACGGGCATGCAAAATTATAGTTGATTTACAACAATTATTTGAATAAAATAACAAACTATTTGAGTTAAAATTTGTAAGAACCTTTTCAATTACAATTCTTACAATGTTTTAAATTTCAAATATTTGAATTATAGTGATTACAAGTACTTAAGTTATTGAAATATTATTAGAGAATAAGTCACAGAAAATAAAAGAAAGAGCCGATATCTTAATGGGCAAATCTGTGTGTGCTTTTATTCAAAAAATCTTTAAGAGTATAGAAACTCTCTCGCATTAACTATTCTCGTAAGGCGCAACAGAACCTTTTATATTGCAGGTCAGTCACTTCTTTGGACAAAGAGTTATGATGTGCCATATAGGCACAGTTTTTTCTACACTTTTGTATCTTTATTTTATTTACATTTAAAAACATTCTTTATGCTTCTTTTATAGCAGACAACTGTGTCCTTCGATCACTTATAAAGTATACACTAACTAAAGAACGTCTAACACTAAATTAGGTCGCGCGCGATGAATAGCGCGCTACGAGATCAAATTTGTGTCACACGTCCTCTCCCAACAGCGATGCTGCTAGAACTAGTTGCCGCTAGACGTGGGCGTAATTTCACGTCACTAGATACAGTAACTGGCTACGCGGCATGTAACCGAATCACTAGTTTCGAGTCATGTTACAAGTAGTGATTTTTGTAAATGCGTGATTATGATTACTGTTAACCATGATTATTGCGGGAGTCGACTGTCGGTCGGTCGAGCGCAAAGCGCACATGTGGCATACAACAATAAACAAAACATCGTATGTAACAGTATTATTGTACGTTTAATTTTCATACGTAAGACTATAGACATAGACAATAAAATAGAGTAATCTCTGTAAATAACTTCAACGGTTTGCGATTCCGAGAAGAGAGTCAATTGAAAAAAGTCAAAAATATTTCAAACAATCACAGAAGCCGGATAAAAATAACCAGTTACAAAATTCACTAGTTTTGAAACAGGTGACGCCGATCAAGTCACTGGTTTCGTTACGTTTCTTGAAAATGACGTAACGACCCACGTCTAGTTGCCGCTAGATATTAACACTTAATAACGCCAAAGCGCCATAGCGCCATGGCGACTACTGACATAGCACGCACTATGTGTTATGGAGATAGCGCGCTATAATATGGCGCTATGCGCTATATTATCCACCATTAGAGCGTCGGCTATTTTAGTTGCGCCAGAGACGTGGACCTAGCGGCAGTGTGTGTATGATCCTCCAACTCCACGTGAGTAAATATTTTTTCGTTCATACTTTTTGGTCTAAAGTAAACAATTTTAGTGTTACGTATATGAGATATTTACTAATGTGTTTGTAATTTATCCAGAAATATTAATCTATGCAATTTTAACGCTTTGTACAGAATGTTTTTTGACATATGATAAAAAGTTAATGTCTTTGAAACGTGGTAAAAAGTGCCTTTCAACCGGGGTCAATTGTGCCGCGGCAAACCAACCCCAACTAACCTTTAATAACCTGTATTGTTTTGTTTGATAAGACGAGAACATATAAGAGAAAAACACAAAGGGGAACTATTTCCCAGGATCTTCTACATTGAGGGCTGCTGATGCGGCCATTAAGGATAGGCGCAAATTAACACTAGATTGGACTGAAGGAAAATGTTTCCCACATTAATTTTTTAGGTTTTATTCGAGCTGAGTGCAACGTATGTCCCACAATATGTCAAACCTACACTGACAGTAATATTGTCTATGTCGAAGAATGTAAGTGCGTCAATCTGAACGTACCATTTTACTGTCAATGTCAAATTCATTTTATTACTTTGAGGTTACTCAGTGAATGTTCGTGGTTTGGTGTCAGTTTCTCATAAAAATAATTACAATGCCCAAAAAATTACGGTAAGTAGGCAGATACGTTTTTATTTTGTAGATTTGTTGTTTCTTTGTGCGATGTAGTAATTTTTGAAGTGCATAATGAGTTTTATATGTACTAAAATTCTTTTGCAATGGGAAATATATGCCTACAGCCCGATTGTCGACTCACTTATTTTCTTACGTACAAAATTTATTTTATTTTAGACTATTTTAGTGCGTTGATTGAATGTTTTTACCACCCTAAATTGTTTCAATTGTCATTTATATATTTCTTTGATTGCAGCCTCCTAAGAAACGGAAGATCTTTTCTGTGCTAAGCCAAAAAGACTGTGATGAGTTATATCAAACATTACAAGATATGATGTCTTCTGAAGAAGACGGCGACGCTGCCGATGATGACGAGAATTCAGGAGAAGTGTTGGATAACAGACTAGACTTTATTCAAGATATAATTACGGACCAAGATTTGTATGAAATATTATCAGGTATGAACCTACTATCTATTTCTCAATCTAAGGTCACTGTGCAGTATTGTAAAAATTATAAAATTAAAATTATTTTTCAGTTCCGGTTGATGGTCAAATCAATTCTTCTTCAATTGATGTCATAATGCCTGCCCCTGAAATTCACTTACCTGAAAGTACTCCTCCGGTTGATGTCCCAATGCCCTTCTCTGAAATTCACTCACCTGCAAGTTCTCATCAGGTTGATGCGCCAATGCCTGTCCCCGATGTTCACTTACCTGTAAGTTCTCCTTTGGTTCATGTGCCAACGCCTGCTCCTGAAATTCGTGCTGAAACACAAATCATGACTCCAAGCTCAGGCAATCAACCCTCAAGATCTTCAAGAATTCGAAGTAACTGAAAAGGTCTACCAGAAGTTTATAGCAAAAATATGAAAGAAAGACGTCTCAATACAGTCGAGTTTTTATTTTTTTATAACAGGCCTATATCTATAATAAAGTGGAAAGATACCAAAGATGTCTTTGTAGCTACCACTTACTGCCCTAGAGAAGTTACAGTAATAAAAAGAAAACAGAAAGATGGTTCGGAAAAATAAATGTTCTGTCCGCTGGCAATAAAGAAGTATACAGAAAATATGCGAAGTGTGGATCTATTCGATCATTATAGGTCATCATATCCTCCAGGGAGGAAGTCAAAAAAAAATTGGCATAGGCTCTTTTGGTTTTTATTCGAATCTGCAATAATCAATGCTTATAATTTGTATATGGAAGGTCACTCCAGCAGTAAGAACACGCATAGAACTTTCAGACTGCGTTTAGGTCGAGCAATGATCGACACGTTTTCTAGTAGGACAAGAAGGCAACCAGTTTTCAAATGTAGGGACGCCAAGACTGAATAAATTTAGGCGATGCCGTTTTTGCAGCACTCGTGCTAAAGAAGTACGCTCAAAATATGTTTGCAGCACATGTCTAGTGCCATTATGTGCAGTTCCGTGCTTTGAAAGGTTTCATTCTAATACTGAAAATTCTCCAGCACACGGGTCCTATCAAGGCTGAACACTTCACTTCCCACACACTTTTATTATTATTTAGAAATAAAAATCTCAAACAAATTAACAGTGGTCTACTTTATTTTCCTATCTACATTACCTAAATAACTGTATTATATATTTTTTATTTATTTATTTATTTTATATACATATAACATCACTGTGTTGCTCGCGCCCAATAAAGGGTTAAAAACCATTGCACGTGAACTAGAAATTTGTCACACAACACTACAACGGTATGTGCAGAAAATTAAGAGTGGACTTACTCCTACAGTTGGATATAAACCAAGACTGATTTTCAATGTAGAACAAGAAATGTCATTGACGTCATACATCCGAAAAAGCGCGTCTATCTACTTCGGACTTCTACCTGAAGAAGTTAGACAACTTGCATACCAGTGTGCGATGAAGTTTGGTGTCCGAAACGTTCCACCTTTTAGGGCTGAAAATTTTAAGGCCGGTAAGGATTGGTTGACAAAATGTTTGAAAAGAAACCCAAAATTTTCGATAAGAACACCGGAAGCCACTAGTGCAGGACACGCAACCTCATTCAACAGACATAATGTGAACCAATTATTTGAGAAACTTGATGATGCAATTACAACATATAATCTTACTCCTTCACGTATATGGAATTTAGACGACACGGCTATCCTGGCCTAGGCCTGGAGGATAGGTGTAAAGCAGATGGGAGCAATTGCATCAGCAGAACGTAGCACGTTAGTCACAGTTGAGCTAGTGGTAAATGCTTTGGGAAACACAATTCCATCAATGTTTGTATACCCACGTCGGAAATATAAGGATCTGTTTATTCGCGATGGCCCTCCTGAATCTATTGGTGCTGGTAATCGCTCGGGTTGAATGACAAGTACGGAATTTTTGGTGTTTATGGATCATTTCATAAAATATACTAAGCCTAGTCCTGAAGAACCAGTGCTTTTACTCCTAGATAATCATTCATCACACGTTGATATTGATGTGAAAGCCAAAAAATTCAGTAATATTGCTATCATTCCCACCACATTGCACCCACCGCCTCCAACCACTCAATGTTGGAATTAATGATCCGTTCAAATAATACTGTTCCAAAGCTCAAAACAATTGGCTACGAACTAATCCTGGAAAGACTATGTCAATATACGAAATACCAGGTATGGTAAAATACGCTTTCCAGTTAACGGCAACACCCACCAATATTTCAAACGCATTTAAAAATGCTGGTATTTGGACCTATGATGCGACTGTTTTTACAGATGAATACTTTGCACCGTCTTTCGTCACCGATCGCCCGATGCCACATAGTCAACCCTTACAAGAGATCAATAATTTGCCTGGCCCCTCAAACATTCGAGAAAAGAGCCCTGAAGATCTCCATGAGTCAAATTTTACAGTTTGCAATGTTGAGCCTAGTCCGTCAATAATCCAGCCTAGTCCTCAGCAACGCCAGTGCAGTGTTGAATATATAAATGCAACGAGATCTTCAGGTATTCAGCAATCAATGAAAGTAGACTGTGGAAATGAGCCTGGTCCATCAGGTTTGCAACTAGAGTCACGCCAGTACAGTCCAGAGCTTATCTCCCCTCACTATCATTCTCAAACAGCTGATCGCATCACTTTTCAAATAGAAGGTAACGATGCAGCATCTTTGTCTCCAGAGTTGATTAGACCATTACCTAAAGCACCTCCCCGATTAATTGGAGTTAATACACAACGTAAAAGGAAGTCAGCTGTTCTAACTTATACTCCAGAAAAAAATGCTCTAGCAGAAGAACAGGCAAAAAAAAGAAAAGAAGTGTAAAGGAAACTTGAAAGGAAAATATGCTAAAGGAACTAAACAAAAAAGAAAGAAAGCAAAGAACTCCGCTAGAAGGAAAGTTCTTCAAAAGGATGATGAAAGTGCCGATGAAGAGAACAGTTCGGAATGGATCTGCATTCTATGCTGTGACTCTTACTCTAATTCTGCGTCTGGAGGAAAATGGATTGAATGCAGCGTATGTAAGACTTGGGCACATTTGCAATATGTGGATGATGAAGAAAGCTTAACATTTGTATGTTCTAATTGCTGATAATAGGATGATAAGAAAATTAGTAAGATTAATAGAAGAACTGTTTGATAATTGGGAGAATAATTTGATTATTCCTAGTATCTTAAGTCTGTAAAGATTTATTTTTTTAAATAAATGTGTATAATAGATCTCATTTATATTAATTTTAGAAAACTAATTAATGTAGAAAATACTTTCAGTTTCAGATAGTTAGAAGAGTAATAGGTTGTTTTTCTTCACTGATGTTTACGCTTGTAGAACGAGTCGTAATGGAAAACGCAACTTTATTTTTAATACAGACAAGAGGCATTACTTTAAACAACCTATTATTTACCGAATATAGTATATTGGAACTAACATTAGGTTCGGGAATAAAATTTCGTCTTATGCCAGAGGAGTTCCTCAAGGAACAACATTAGGTCCCATGTTGTTACTTTTCTACATTAATGATAAGACAATGATATTATAGTAAATTAAGGTTTAGATGTAATTAGGGACACATGAGCGGTTATAAAACATATGTACAAAGTCGAACACAATTCGATTTGGAGATACTTGGAATTTGATTCCAAGATCGTAAATCAGTTCAGAGTTAAGTTAGGCGTAAAGTTATTACATTACTTTACAACTTTATTTGTAAAATTAAAAAAAAATGCTGATACAAGCAATTGTAAACTATTGCCCTTTGCTGAAAATAAAATATTTCAGTGACCTTTTGAGGTTCAGTATATCACATATTAGAATTAAAGTTTATAGACAATGCTATGGACTTTTTTCAGTTCGGTTATTTTCAAATTCCGTTAAAGTAACACCGTGATTAGATAACATGTGACTTTTCAAACTGCACTTTTGAACGAAAGCCAAACTGCAAACACCGCATTTGAATCGTCTATCGTTATTGTGAATCCTCATGTGTTCTCGTAGTGTTTTTTTCCTAGCATACGCCTTAGAACACACTGTACACTTAAACACTCTTTCCCCATTATGCTTAATCATATGTTCGTTTAAACTCTGTTTTATAAAAAATCCCTGTCCACACACCGCACAAATATGATTCCGTTCCATTAAATGCACTTTCTTTATATGGGAAGTCAGTTTCGATTTGAGAATGAAAGTTTTGTCACATATATTACACTTGTAGTCCGCTGCTGAGGTATTATGTTCATCAAACATATGTCTATTACGTTGGTAGTAACTCGTGAAGGACTTATCACACTGTGGGCAATTGGTAGTATATCGAGCGTTCGTATTGTGTGTATATTTCTCGTGGCACATCTGTCGCACTCGAGTGGTGAAGATTTTGTCGCAGTACGCGCATTTGAAAGTGCCAACTTCGTGGGTCCGTTTGTGACTTTTTAACCTGTGCTGGTTTATAAAACCCATATCGCACACGTCGCAGATAAAATTCCTATAATGCCCATTCATATGTTGTAGTAACATCTTGAAGGTTTCGTATGTCGAGTTGCAGAGCGCACAGTTCATTATTTGGGACGAAGTCAACTTGAATTCCATTATATAGTCCTTTACGTCTGAATAGAATTTTATATCATGTTCATTAGTGAGATGTTGCTTCAAATTCGATATATGATCGAAGTTTGCGTTGCAAATTGTACATTTAAGATCAGTTATATCCAATTTGATAGAAAGATTATTTTTATCTATGCGTTTGCTGTGGTTAAACTCATCGTTTTTATGATTTTCTCGATTGTGCGTTCTTAAATCTTGCGGGTCCTGATAGGTCTCTTTACAGTACGCGCAAACAATACCGGCGATTGTTCGCGTAAAGAAAGGTGTACAATTTGAATATTTCAATATATTGTCCAAGTTGACTTTGTGTTTGTTGTTGTCGCTAACAAAACGAATAATGGTCGGGTTTTGGACGGATTTTTTTAGATTTTCCATTTGTGTTAGCGTTCTAAGCGAGAGTTTGATTGGGCCTTTCTTTTGCGAGTTCTTGCAATCTGAAATGAATAGATTTTTTCCTTTAAAATTATTTGGTCTACTTTTTCTTTCTTCTTCATCGATTTTTTTAATCGACCGCTATATAATATATCAGGGACAGAGGCACCACGGCCCAGGGCGGCAGATATTAAAGGGCGGCATTTTGGGTAAGAAAAGCCAGAGACTGGCCTTTTCCTAAATATGCCATCAATTATATATAGTATTTTCAGGAATACGTTTTTTAAATAGAATAAGGGTGCCAAGCGAGCACACAGCCCACCTGATGGTAGTTAATGCTGTGGTCCATAGACATATACGTCTCTGCTCGATTAAGAATCAAAATGCAGATGCGTTGTCACACCTAAGGAATGAGATGGAATGAACTTTTCCAGTAAAAAGGGTCTAAGGTTACATGCTTCGTATCCAGTAAAAAGGGTATCCGGTTTTTTTACACTCACCTTACGAAACGCAGAAGCATTTATGGCAGCATTCAAATATTGATATAGATCTATCAAAAAATGAGCTGCTAGTTTTGCTGTCACCCTGGCAAGAATAAGTTTTGGAAGCCCTTAACATACTAGCTTCCTTTCCCATCGGACCGTAACATAATAAAAGCAGGTAAGAGGGTGGACCTTAATCAGATCAGGCTCCTAGATAGATAAATAGCTCTACCATCTTGAAAATACGAAGTTAATTATTTTAATGTCTTCCCAAAGCCTGAAAACGTTCACCTATTCATAATAACAAACTACTAATAATAATAATAATAATAATAAGGCGTAGGGAACTGACGACCCCATCGCCCGCTGATATAACGGTTATGTGACAAAACCGCTACGTCGGCGCAGTCAGTCAGCACCTTGCCAAGAGGTGTTAGTGCCGTGCCTCGGCAAAAATTGAAGGTGCCAGGGCCCGCTTGTGCACCTGGCCTAACCATGAAACGGCGCCGGGTCTGGGCGTCTCCCGCTAAATGACGCCCTAAAATGGATGATGGAATTAAATGGAACGCGCAAAGGGCCGCTGCCTGGAGGTCGCCAGGGCGCGTCTGGAGCTGGCGCTGGACGCGACAGCATGCGAACCGCCAGCCGAGCGCGAGGTGCTGCACGACCACCTAGCAGCTCCTCGCATCCATCATCCCCACCAGCTGGCTTGGTGTCGGCAGGGTCTTCGCGGGCTCAGCAATCGGCACCCGCCACTGGTGGAGTACGCCGCATGCGTTGGACAACCCAGATGAACAGCAACGCATTGCGGGCGTATTTTAGGGCGAAAGGGGGAGAAACTGGAGGTTTTGCGTATCGGGCAAGGATGCATCGACTTTTTGCTGAGCTGGAGCCATCTGTAACCGTCACCGAACAAAACCTGGCAGACCGAGTTCGGTATATCTTGCGCTCAAATACATTTGATGTCACCGAACTCGAACGGCTACGACGTGAGGCTGTTCCTTCATCGGGTGAAAATGCTGCGGCTGAGGATGCGGCGCCACAACTTGCTGAGCAAACGGCAAATGTGGATGCCGCCGTGAACACGCCAGTTGTGGTTGATTCAAACGATGATGGAACAGTCGCCCAGGAACTGGAACTAGAGCAAATGAGGAGTACATTGGAAGAGGCGATTGTGGAAACGCGCAGTACGACTCTCGAAAATCGACCGCGACTTCCCCGCTTAGCCCTAAGCAAGCGGAATCGGGCTGTCGTGAGGGCTCTGAACCCAATGCTGGTTACCTATTTGGAAGCCAGCCGGGACCTTTTGCGATACGGACTCAATTCTTTTTGGCGCCGCACTGGCAGTCTGCCGTATTATAGGTGCCAAACTTTCCACGGCTGGACGCGCTACTGGACAAAGTAGTGCTATCCCAGCCTGGAGAATAAGAATTGAAGAACGTATCGCAAAGGCTAGGGCCCTCATCGGCAGACTGATATGCTTCAGGTCAGGCAATACCAGGCCAAGGATTGTGCGCACCGTCAGGATGGCGTTTGCTGGGACAAATGTTAGTTTGTCCCAGCCGGATATAATGCAAAAACTGACGGAGCGCATAGACGACCTGAAGCAAAGAATAGCTGCTTGGGGAAAGCGGATTCGGCGATATACCGAGAGGTCGACACGGTTCAACCAGAATCGTCTCTTCCAGAGTGATCAGAAGAGGCTCTATAAATCATTGGAGCGACCAATAGTAAGTGGAACGGGCCCTGCACCAAATCAGGCCGACATGGTCGCATTCTGGCGCAGCCTGTGGTCAGAGCCCGTAAACCACAGCGAGGGCCCTTGGACGGAAGTTGTGGCGAGTCAGTGTGCGAGTATTACGCCCATGGACCCCGTCATCATAACGCCGGATGACGTAGCTGAGGCGGTCCGTAGGGCCCCGAACTGGAAAAGTCCGGGGCTTGACGGGCTGCATCACTACTGGCTGAAGGGGTTCATGGTGTGTCACTCTGTGCTCGCCCGACAGTTTCAAGAGGCTCTCAACCAGAAGTCGCTCCCAAGCCTCTTCACTACTGGGATCACTCATTTGGTTCCTAAAGATCAGGGTGCCACAGACCCGAGCAAATACCGCCCCATCACGTGTCTACCGACCATATACAAGACACTAACATCCATTTTGAGCGCAAGAATCGCTCGTCACCTGGACTTAAATCAGGTGATGTCGCGCGCTCAAAATGGATGTCGGGGCGGCGGTCGTGGAACCAAGGAACCACTCCTCATTGACGCGGTCATTGGCAAAGTGGTGAAACGCAACCGTCGGAACTTCTCCGCCGCCTGGATAGATTACAGAAAGGCATTTGACTCGGTGCCCCATACATGGCTAAAGAGGGTCCTCGAGCTGTACAAGATTAACTGTACAGTTCGAGACTTCCTCGAGCAGTGTATGGGGCAGTGGAGTACGATCCTCTGTCATCTAGGCGAGCGGATGACGGCTGCGGAAAGCCGCATAAGGATAAGAAGGGGTATATTCCAGGGCGACTGTCTGAGTCCAATTTGGTTCTGCCTCTCTTTGAACCCTCTCAGTACTTTACTGGAGGGCTCCGGGAGGGGATTTCAGCTTCGGAAAGGAGGTACAAAAGTGACCCACCTTTTCTATATGGATGACCTCAAATTATTCGCCTCCAGTCGCTCCCATCTTATGGAATTGCTAAACATCACGTGTGAATTTAGCAATTCTATTAGAATGGAGCTGGGGACGGATAAGTGTGCGGTCCTCCATGTTGAAAGGGGAAGGGTTGCTAACTCTGAGGGCATAGACTTATCTATGCCCGTCAACTTAAGAACCCTTTCCGAGGCTGAAACATACCGATACCTGGGTATGTCACAGAACATCGGTATCGATGAGGCTGGTATGAAACAGTCAGTTTGCGACGTGTTTTATGCACGCTTGACCAAAGTGCTTAACAGCCTTTTTGTCCGGTGTGAATAAGGCACACGCATATAACGGCTGGGTCATGCCTGTCCTCATGTATACCTTTGGCATACTCAGGTGGACTCAGACTGAACTTAACGCCCTGGATAGAAAAGTCCGCACTACCATGACGTCCCATAGGATGCATCATCCGAGATCGTCGGTAATGAGGCTGTACTTGCCGCGGAAGCATGGTGGTCGTGGCTTCTTGAGCGCGCTCACCATGCATAATCGCGAAGTGTGCAGCCTCCGTGATTACTTCCTGTCGAGATCGGATGATCCATTCTATAAGGACGTCATTTCTTGTGATAAAGGACTTACCCCTCTATCCTTAGCCAACGAGCAATGGCAAGACCCGACAGTGCAGAGCATTTCCGACCGGGAGACCGTATGGAAGGAGAAGGAGCTCCACGGGAGGTTCTACAAGGCTCTACATGAGCCTTTCGTAGACACAGTAGCCTCCCTCCACTGGCTACGCTTTGGTGATCTCTTCGGGGGAAACCGAGGGTTTTGTCTGTGCAATACAGGATCAGGTTATTAAGACCAACAACTATCGGAGATACATCCTAAAGGATGGCACCGTCGACATCTGTCGAGCTTGTCGCCATCCCGGTGAGTCACTTAGGCATGTTATCTCCGGTTGTTCGGCGCTTTCTAACTCTGAGTACTTGCACAGACACAACCTAGTAGCCAGAATTCTACACCAGGGAGCTCGCTCTGAAATACGGTCTCGTGGATCGGAAATTGCCGTATTACAAGTATTTGCCGGAAGCCGTGCTCGAAAATGATCGCGCCAGGCTCTATTGGGACCGGGCATCATCACAGACAGGACTATTCTTGCGAATAAGCCTGATATTGTGCTGATGGACCGGGCACAGTCAAGGATATTTTTGGTCGACATTACCATTCCGTATGACGAGAACCTCGTGAAAGCCGAAACAGACAAGCAAACAAAATATCTGGACCTGGCTCACGAGGTGACCGACATGTGGGGTGGTCTGCCGACCGAAATTATTCCTGTAGTCGTCTCTGCAAACGGGCTAATCCCAGTCAGCCTCTCGGGTCATCTGAGGCGGCTGGGACTACGTGGCGGACCGCTCCAGGTTCAAATGCAGAAGGCGGTGCTCCTCGATACCGCCCGCATCGTCCGCCGGTTTCTTTCCCTTTCCCCCCTAACCCTCGGCCGTTTGGTCTCCCCTGCCGAGGGCCTCCATCTGGTTGGGCTTTTACTTATTTATGTACTTTTATATTTATTTTATGTTATTGATATTTATGTATATTTATCTTTTCATTTTCATTTATAATTATATATCTATATAACCCAACCAGATGAGAATTTAAAAGTTAAAGAATAATAATAATCCTCCTCCTGGTTGGCCTCCATCTGGTTGGGCTTTTATTTATTTATGTACTTTTATATTTATTTCATGTTATTGATATTTATGTATATTTATCTTTTCATTTTCTAATTATATATTTATAGAACCCAATTTTATAATTATATATTTATAGAACCCAACCAGATGAGAAAACTATATAGATACCCCACAATAATAATAATGTCCTCCAGACCTAATTTCAGTCACGACGACCAGTCTCAAAGGATTCTAGCCATCTGCGTACGACAGGATTATAGTGTAAGGTGTATGAGCAAGCACAGGCACTTTAATATATAATGGTAGAGCTACGCTGCAGCTATATTATGGTTGTAGCACGAATGGGTCGGCTCGACCGGGGAAGGACCTCGATCTCACAGACTACCAGCGTAAAATAGCAGCGTAATGCTGCTGTGTTTCGTATAGTAACTGTCGAGATCCGGAGACCTTTTTTTACTGGAAACGAGGCATTCCATCTTAGTCCTCGAAGGTGACAACGCATCTGCGTTTTAATACTTAATCGATAATAAATGTAGATGTCTATGGGTCACAGCATCCACTTATCATCAGGTGCATTGTGTGCTCGTTTGTCACCCTTATTCTATAAAAAAAGAACTCTATTCACACACTCTCATAGTCCGATGAGACAGTAATCCGACACGACCGGAGAGAGATCAGGCACAGGACCAACGGCTTTACGTGCTTACGAGGCACGGGGGTGATACACCGCCATCTTTCAGACTGCGGATTCCTACTGAGAATTACTTGACAGAAAAACCCAATAATTGATTTGGACTAAACAGGGATTCGACCCCATGACCTCATGATCAGCAATAGAATTTACTACCACTAGACCAGCGAGGCAGTCTATATTAACAACTACTTCTCGGAAGTAGGACTTCTTTTCTGGATAGGGGTCTACCTGGGTAGGTACACTCTCCTCCTTAATTAAACCGTCAAATAGACTTCTATTCCTTCCCCTGTTAGTGCTCTTCCGTCAATTCCTTTGAGTCTCAGCTTTGCATACTTTGCATACCATACTCCACCCGGAGTCCAAAATCTTTCCCGGAAGCTGGAAGCTGGAAAAGAAGCCGGAAGCTGCCCGCCGAGCCATAGTAGTAACGTCGGCGGATCGCTAGATGACATATTTACGGTTAGAACTGGGGTGGTATCTAATCGAACCTCTAACTTTCGTTCTTGATTGATGAAAACACCTTAGGCAAATGCTTTCGCTGATGTTCGTCTTGCGACGATCCAAGAATTTCACCTCTAACGAGCACTTTCTCGCACTGCTACGAAGAAGGGTATAGAGAGCCAGAATAATTACAGGCAGTGAGGAATTTACCGATTCGTGGTGGTGTAAGGATATCCACCAATAAGAATATCCAAGAATATCATCCCGGGGGTGTCGCTATAGGTGACAGAGGGAAACAAATGGGAAGATTAACAGCAGCACTTTCATAATAATGTTGCGTGCCTTAGTTGATGTCTGGTACCTGGCACTAGCGCCATCTAGTGTCGGGAAACAGAGCGAGGAGAGCTTTCTAGAAAATGCCATGACTGAACTTGAACCAACAGCGCCATCTAGTATCAGAAGAACTAAGCTTTCTGGAAAGCCCCACACTCGAACTTTCTGTACCAGGTCGATCGGGGGCCGGTATTTGCTGGAATATTCTGCATGTATTGGTGAAAAAGGCGTTTATACAGGCGTTGAAGCCCGCCACCGGGGAAGTATTAAATTGGCGATACGAGCGAAGCTATTGGAGTGAAATAAATTTAACTAAAGTGTTAAGTGTGAATAATTATTAATGTGATTTGAGTTTTAATTGGTGTTCAGTAATTAAAGTGTAAATTTTGGTAATTCAACCGGCAGTTTTTATTGTCACGAACCCTAAGCACGTAACAATAACTAAAAGGAATATACGGCCTCGCTATAAGGCAATCAATGGGCGGTATGATCAGCAGTGAGTAGGCTGTTTTTTTTTATTTTTTTTATTTATTACACAATTATAACATTATTACAGTTATTAAACTATCCTAAATATAAGAAAACTACTGACTAATAAATAATGGTATCTAGTATGAAATCTATCAAATTGATGGTAAAATAAAATACTAATTAAAAACATTACAATTTTCGACGCATTTGTATGCTGCAATCATGAATTTCGTCTCACTACATGCAAATATGTCAATATCCTGTGAGATGATATTAACATAGTGTATGGCACGTGACAATTCATTTGCAAGCAACTTCGTCCTAGCAGCGGGCACGAGCAGTAATGGGGGACGACGACGAGAACACGCGTAATTATTAAGCACCCGCAGCTTTAACGCAGCGAGCACATCTGGGTGATTACGGTAACGTTAACGGAGACTCCATCTCAAAGGAGACAACGTCTCTGTAACCCTCTTTGTCTGTTACTGTCTGTTAAAGTCCACTGCTGAACATAAGCCTCGACCATAGATTACCTCATGGGGGGGGATATTTGCCATAGTTGCCATGCTTGGCAAGCGGATTGACAACCGCAGTTCTTTTAGTCGTTATTAAGAAGACGCTGCTGCCCATCTCCTGATTTTTTTCCCTCTATTGCCTCTTGCGACACCCACGGGATGATAGGGGGTGGTGGAGATTTTTACACCGACACAACACGGTGGCCAATAGCCTTCTTTATATGACGTATAGTAACTACTTACCATCAATTCTATATAAATAAAATGATGTTGAGACACAATTAAATTTCCAAACTCACCGTTGGCTTCTAGAAGCAACTTCTCTCCGTTCTTCTTGCTCACCTTCCTCTTGATTGTGATGTCACCCAGACCTAACATGGCGGCCAGTTCTGAATCTTCCTCCGTCTTCGAGTCATCGTCTGAGGGTTCCTCTTTCACTTCTGAAACTTGGGGAATATGACAAGAAAAGTCCAATGCTGAACATGGGAGGGGATCCCCCATAGATTCTCTCATATGGGGATATTTGCCATAGTAGCCTCGCTTAGCTGACGGGTCATCTCCTGGAATGTTTCCATCTATCACCTCTTACGGCACCCACGGGACGATATGGTGTAATGGATATTCTTAAACCGCTACTACACGCTAACCTATCACCATATCAATTACGCCAGGAGTAAATTACCTTGACCGGCGATGAGATGTAGCGTAAAAAGTGAGAGAGGAGGGCAATCTTGCCTACAAACAAAACGTACAATACACCGTAGTCTGCAATGAGTGTTACGGAAAAGTACCTACTAGGCAATATGTTGTAAACTTGCCTACAAGAGAAAGATGCTTATTTTTAAAATCAAAAAAAAGAAAAAGAAGAAAAAAAAATACGTGGTAGAGTCACGCTGGAGATATAAATTATAGTTGTAACACGAATGAGTCAACTCGACCGGGGAAACCCCACGCTCTCACTAAATACCAGCGTGAATTAGCAGCTCAATGCTGCTGTGTTTTGTATGGTGAGTGTAGAGAACCGGTGACCCTTCTTACTGGAAATGAGGCATTCCATCTTAGTCCTCGGGGGTAACGACACATGAGCATTTTGATACTTAATCGAGGATAAATGCTATGGGCTACAGCGTCTACTCGCCATTAGATGGACTGTGTACTTGTTTGTCGTACTTATTCTATTTAAAAAGTCCAGCAGTGGACTGCTAAGGACTACTTAATTAAGATGTAAATTTAAAAAATATTCTTTTCGAATGATGAGTGTAGTTAACCGGATACCCTTTTTACTGCAAACGTTCATTCCATCTTAGTCCTCAGGGGTGACAACGCATCTGCATTTTGATTCTTAATAGAGTATAGATGTAGTTGTCTACGGGTCACAGCATCCACTTACCATCAGGTGGGTTGCGTGCTCGCTTGTTAACCTTATTCTATAAAAAAAGTTGTTCGGTAGTCCGAGAGATAGCGTTAGAATTATCAGGTATATTCATGCATTTATTTTTTACAACCCATCAAATGTTCACTGCTAAAATTCCCCCCTACCCTCACCCCCTTCAAAATTTCCTCACAGAGAGGATATTTGCCAAAGTTGTCACGCTTCGCAGGCGTGTCAGTAACCACAAGTTTATTATTTCAGATTGGTATCAGAAAGATGTTTCTGGATATCTTATTTCATCTAGTGTATGTCAGATGTAAGATACGTTCGGGAAGACGGGTGCAGTGGTCACCAATCGATTTCCCAAGTTTACGATGGAAGAGACTCCCTGTGGAAGATGCCTATACCCAGTGGTGATTTCTTACCAATAAAATATACTCCATTCTCGTCCTCAGCATCGGAAGCCTCAAGTTTCACTTTAGGTGATTTTTCATCTGGAATCAATAACGAATATCGACATAAATAATATAGTTTGTATAAAAATGGTTATTACAATATTAAGGAATTTATGGATGATAAGGTAATTGACTCTGGAAATGAGGCGATACTACCAAGCTATTTCTAATATTTTTTGTGTTAACAGTTGTATAACATATATGATTGTAAACATTTTTTTTAAAGTACGCTGGATTTCTTGTTGGTTCAGAAGAAGAAAAACTATGTTCTTTATGAATTAAACAAAAGAGTAACTTTCAATAAGTATTATTTATAATATATATTAAATAAAAATGTTTCTGTTTCTGTTAATAGGACTGGGTGTATATTTGTCTCTGTGTTTTCTTTTGAATATTATTTTAAAGCCAAATATAAATCAGCGTCGCTGAAGCGCACTGACACGCACAGACCACGCAAACACAGCCTAATGCAAGAATTATAAATTTACACAACCTATGTACAATGATAAATGATTAGGGACACCCATGTATCCATGAAGTAGTGCCTGAAAACCAGCGTTTCATAATATTTTTGTCCCATGTAAGCAAAAGCCGTGTCATCTTCGATTGCCTAAATTTATTATGTACTTAAATTATATCTAAGCTCGCTGTTCCCCGCGACTTCGCCCACCTGGAATTAATTACGTAGGTTTTAATGTTTTACCCGGAACCCTAACTTTTAAAAAAAAATAAAAGTAGCCTAAGTTACTCCTTATAATATCTGCTATAGTCCGTACGGATAAATGTGATCAAAAATGGCGGCTAATCGAGCCCGTACCTTCAACATGCACAGTACCAATAGCGAAAACCCGCTAATAACGGTATTTTGTTATAATGTTATATTATTCGGTTAATTAGAAATTTTATATAAATGTGAAAATATTTGCAAAAGGTTGCCCAAGTTATACCCAATAGGTTATACCCAAGTAGGTATACCAGTTTTAATACATTTAGTAAAAGGCTGTTATTTTGACGTTACAAACAGACACTTTATTTTTTTAACTTTATTCAAAAACTGAAGGCAGCCGGGCTAACTATGACATTGGGACGTCAAACATCTCAGTCCCCCCCCGTGACCATGGGCGCTGTAAAGCACCCGAAACGTGATGACATGAAAAATAAGTTAATAAAAGTAAATTAAAGGCGATAAAATCCGTTATATATAGTTTTACACTTAAATTTTATTTATTTGTATAGTTTTACACTTAAATTTTATTTATTTGTATAGATGTCTTTATTTTATGTATATCTTAACAGTGGTAGAGCCACGCGTCAGCTTTCGCTGTTGCACGTATGGGCCGGCTCAAACGGGGGTGGTACCACGAGCTCTGCTTCTGCGTTTCGTCTGGTGAGGGAAGGTTCAATTTCCTCCCCAATTCCTACCCCTCATTAACATGTATTTTTTATATTGTGCGAGCAGCTATGCAGGTCTTTTTCTTTTCTAGGTCTAGGGAAAGAGACCAGTATCACTGCGTCCTAGGAGATCTATTGTGATCGCTGCTATGGCTATAGTTCACGGCTAAGCCCTATGTCTTCAATGAATAGAAGGAGTTGCTTAGCCGTGAGCAATTTCACTTCTTCTGGGCGGAGTACATAGTTTCCCAGATGAGTGTTACGTTTGCGCATTAAGGGTCCGCATCAAGTTAGGATGTGTAGAGGCGTCTCTTCCGTTATGGAACAGAACCGACACATCCTTGAGTTGCTTAGTCCCTGATGATGGACATGTGCTTTTTAAGACAACAGTGTCCAGTTAGGGCTCTTGCCAGTATGCGCAATTTATTTTTACTTAATTCCAGGGTTTCTGAAGCGAATTTGCGATCAAAAGCCCGGATTAACGTTTTAGAATGTTTTAAGCTGTCAGACCAAATCTGGGCCGGCTCAAACCAGGGTGGTACCACGAGCTCTGCTTCTGCGTTTCGTCTAGTGAGTGAAGGTGCAATTTCCCTCCCCCTTCCTACCCCCCATTAACATGGTATCGGAATTAAATAAGAGACTACCCCAGGAGGGTACCAGCACCCCTGGTAATGGAGAATCTCTTGCTGAGCATCCACGACCAAGCTACTCAGGCTCAGGCTGCCCCGCGTATTGTGGGGGGAGGCAAAATACCACTCATGACAAAAACTGCTTGATGTAAACTGAGCAAAAAGACTAAGGCGACCTCTGCCACGCTATCCGTGGATTTTTGCATCATCAGGGGGCTTCACTCGAACCTAAACGCCGTTTACTACCATCTGGAGATGGCGAAGCCAGCCATGATCTTTTTGACCGAGACGCAGGTGTCTTCTCCGGTTGATACTTCGTATCTCTCTTACCCGGGATACAAATTGGAACACTCCTTTGTGCCTCGGGCTGGAGTTTGCGTATCGTACATCAGAGAGGATATCTGTTCTCAACGCCTTGGCAGTCTTGAAGGTTCGGTCCATTCTTTGGCTACATGTAGACAGCGACGACCATCCGCGAGTCTACGGGTGCCTCTATAGGTCCCATAGCGGTAATGCCAAAACAGACCGACTTATCGACCATGTCCAATGGCTGCAAATTACTTGCTACAGCAGGTCCCATCCGCAAACGGTTAGACGTGAACCGACCTATTACGCCGAATGGCTCGGTTCACGTCTAACCGATTATGCGGGTATGTCTTTTTATGACTTTGGCTTTGGCATATGGTTTGACACCACTGGTTACTTCGCCTACTTGGATTCCAGATGTGGAGGATCATGCACCTTCCCTGTTGGACCTCCTGCTGACCTCTCATCCGGATGGATATCAAGTCTCCGTCGACGCACCTCTTGGCACCTTGGACCATTATCGAATTCGGAGTGTCGTGCCACTCACACTCCCTTCGCAGTTGCATTCTCCACGCTGCCGCCGTGTTTGACATTACAGGACAGCGGATTGGGACGTAATGCGGTCTTTTTTTGCATCCTACCCATGGGAGCGGGTTTGCTTCTCGCTAGATGATCCTAGCGCTGTTGCTAACTCTGTCACTGATATGGGCTCTAGGGAATGGACTATTAATTTTATCATCTGTGGTACACACCGGAGGCAGATCCCAAACTTGGTTACGCACTAAACAGGAGTGTTATGAGACATGGCCTTACGCTTCGGCGGCTAGGGATGTAAACACCGGCGAACTTAAAAAGAAGTATAACCAAGGCAAAGTATGAGCACATTGAGGGAATTGGCGAAAAATTTGTCCTTTGAGAACCAGTGCATTCTGATCTCTCGCCATGGTTGTCCAAGGGAATTAATGTAAGCCATCACTACCATCTCTGCACAGGGAGGACAACTCACTGACCCACGCCGCAAAAGAGAAAGCCGATCTTTTAGGCACTCTTTTTTGCGTCCAACTCCAACGTCCAACATGAGGACGTGTGCTACAGAGTTGGCACCGATTCTAACGCGTCTTTTCCGGTACTCCTACTCCATGGCCGTAGTTCCGAATTTTCGGTAGACAGCTTTCGTGCACCCGGTCCCTAAAAAAGTAACCGCTCTGATCCATCTAATTACAGGCCTATCCGCAATCACCTCCTTTTGTTCTCCAAAATAATGGAGTCCATTACTTACAGCCAGCTCATGCGGTACCATGAGGAGTACCAGCTGATTAGTGACTGCCAATACGGTTTCCGTCGTGGTCGCTCAACTGGTGATCTTCTTATTTATCTAACACACTGATTGGTGCAGGTGATCGAGTCCAAGGGGGAGACTTTTGCGGTTAGTTTGGACATAGCGACGGCCTCCGATCGGGTTTGGCACAAAGCTTCCCGAGAAATTATGCAAATAGATCACCAGTTTTCTGTTTAATCGGAGCATCAAGGTCGTAATAGACGGTGCATGCTCCGATTGCAAGCCTATTAATACGGATGTTCCACAAGGCTGCGTGTTATCACCAACGTGGTTTCTTCTGCATATCAATGTTACATTGCAAACCGGTAAAATTCGTTGCTATGCGCACGGCATCACTTCTGATGCTATATACACTGGCCGTGCCAATATTACTCGGGAAAATGTCGCCGAGTACTGGAACAAATTTGTGCCTAATCTCGGATTGGGGGCAACTAAATCTAGTCCAATTCAATTCCCAGAAGACACAAGTTTACGCGTTTACCCCTGAAAAGAACCGCTTTGTCGTATATGTACAAATGTATTAGATATCTGGTTCTGTGATAGCTGGTTGAGTAGTGTAATGCTAAAGAAGAAAGAAGAATATATAAAGAATGTTGATAGAATTTTAAACGTGGTAGAGCCATGTTGCAGCTATATTATAGCTGTGGCACGAATGGGTCAGCTTAACAAGGGAAGGACCACGCTCTCATAAAATACCAGCGTGAAATAGTAGTTTAATGCTGCTTTGTTTCGATGGAGGAGTGGATTCGAGTAAAGAGAAACGGAGACCCTTTTTACTGGAAACGAGGCAGACATTCCATCTTGGTTTTCAGCGATGACAACGCTTCTTATTTTGATTCGTAATCAACGATATAATTTCTATAGCCATAGCATCCATTTACCATCAGCCGGACAACGTGCACACACGTTTGTCACACTTATTCTATAAAAAAAATGTCGGATCTTTTTCCAGATTAACATCTGCAGTACATATTCATCTGACTTCTGAACTCTTCTTCTAACTGCCTCGTTGATCAAGTGATCGTAAACGCGATTGCTGATTATAGATCCCGGGTTCCAATCCCAGGTCGGGTCAAAATCAGTTATTAAGATTTTCTGTTAGGAAATTCATAGCAGCAACCTGGGGTTAGGAAGTTGTCTGTGTTTGACCCTCGTGCCTCGAAAAGCACGTAAAGCCGTTAGTCTGATCTCTCTTCGGTCTTGTCAGATTACCCTCACATCGGACTATGAGAGTGAGGAAATAGAGTGCACCTGTACTTGTGCAACACTCGGTCACTATAATCTTGTCCTGCCCAAATGGCTAGTCTCCATTGAGTGACTGTGACCGAAATTCGATCTGGAGGACGTAACAGTGATGGTTAATGGTAACACCGGCATCCTTTTGAAGCCATAAGATCCTTCTGATAATTCCCATCGCTGTCTCATACACTTTTAGATATGATTGATGACCCTTATCAATCATACCCGCTCAATCCCCTAGCGGTCTCATGAGACCGCCGCGCTATTCCGTCAAATCCCTAGCGGTCGCATGAGACCGCACCCACCCATAGCACTTTAAACCATAAAAACTTATATTTAGAGACTACTTTTCTGTGAAGAAGTTTGGCATTATAGAATCTATATAATTGTCTATCCTGTGGTCTAAACAAAAGTCAGTTACTCTATGGATGGCCATACGAAAATGGCGCAATTTTACGGTAGATTAAAAACAAAAATCCATAGAATAACTGAATTGTTTAGACCACAGGATAGGGAATTTCGTCAAGATTCTATAATGCCAAACTTTTTCAAAGAAAAGTAGTCTCTAACTATAAGATTTTATAGTTTAAAGTGCTGTGGGGGGAGGGGAGCGATCGCATGCAATTTTTAAAAATAAAAATCCATTGAATAACTAACTTTTGTTTAGACTATAGGACAGAAAATTTCAAATAGATTCTATAATTCCAAATTTCTTCATAGAAAAGTAGTCTCCAAATTTAAGTTTTTATGGTTAAAAGTGCTGTGGGTGGGTGCGGTCGCACACGGCCGCTCGGGATTTGACGGACGCATGCGACAACTTGGAAATTTAAGGCGTTTGAAGGGATATCTAAAAGTGATAGACATATTATTGTTGTAGCAAGAATGGCTTGGCTTGACCGTGGTAGGACTACATTCCCATAGAATACCAGATTAAAATAGCAGCTCAATGCTGCTGTGTTTCGTACGGTAAGTATAGTGAAAAAGAGACCCTTTTTACTTGAAACAAGGCATTCCATCTTAGTCCTCAGGGTTGACAACGAGTATATTTTGCTCCTTTGATAAGATAATACGGAATAGATGTAAATGTCTATGGTCCACAGCATTCACTTAAAAAAAAAGCTGACGATTTTGCGAATCAGCTTTGTCGGCTTACGAAATCATGTTATTGCGATGATCTACCATTGAGCTTTACCGCCGAGCCACCAAGAGCTCTGTAATACTCTCAAGTCGATTAGGGTGTTTACGCAGCTACCTTACGGCAAGGAGTCGACATGCATCTAATATTTAGTATTATCTAAAGTGCGAAATACCAAATTAGTTTTTCCTTTAAAATATTATACGATTCCACACACCTTTCCCATCGAAGGATGAAATATAATGAAGCTGGAACTCTTTCTGGCAACGTATTACTTGCTCCTTGAAGTCGGCGGCGTCTCGAAGCCTATCGACGCACGTGTCACATATACCCGCGTCGCCAACCATGTTGCCCAGCGATAACTGGAAACCCAAATAAGTTTTCTTCGACCCCATGACTACGTATAGTCTGTTCTCTTAGATAGTGTCGGTACCCCCGGAGACGCGCTTATTATTTTGCTTTTATTTTATTATTTTTTTACTGTGTTTGGTAATTACATGTTTTTCTATTGTAAGAATAAAATGGAATACTATTTTACACTTATGGTTATTTTAATCAAATACGAATATAAATAATAAACACAGAAACCTTTCACTATGGCCCTTCGTTTTAAAAGTTCACTGTTCGGCGGCGACTTTGACAAGATGCGGTCCGTGCCAAGGCGGCGCGACACAAAGGCGACCGTATCTAAGGGAACAGACTATTCACATGCAATATGAATCATGAAATGTTTAAAATATATTTTTTGAAGTGAAAACTTCTTTAAAATCATAGTGATTTGAAACTCGATACTAAAAAGAGACACACATATAAATCTTCCTTCCTTACTCCCTTACAGATTGAGCCTGAGAGAGAATGATGAATGAATGAGATAGAATATAGTAAACAATGTTTGTTAAAATTTTATTCATATTTTAATTACATAACTCTACAATAATACTACTCCCAATACTCTGCATTTGTCTCATTCTCTCAAAGTTCAGTTTTCTGAAAGCTTGACTAAAAATATCAATTGAGCAGTGACATAAACCTTAAAATTAAAGAAAAAATAAATTTGAATAATTATTCATTATTATTCACTCGCATTTTATAGGCATTAAAAGGCCTTGTAGCTAATAAGGCCACAATACATGAAAATAAATCTCAAATATGATGTATGGGTCATCCTACGATAAGAGGTAAAATCCGCGGCAATCATTATAAAACAGATTTTTTATTCTATGAGTTGTCGTTTTATGCAATAAATCGCAGCATCTTAATGTATTTTTTAAATAGCGTTACAACAGAATGCCCAATTAAAGCACATTTTCCTGAAATTACGTATTTAAGTCTGAAAAATTCTCTACCCTGGTTTGTCCCCTTGACGTTTTTGGTTAATCATGCATTACATACCTTCTTTGTTGCAAGTGCATTGTTAAAATATATTTATCACAAATTTAAATAAGTGTACTTAAGTAAAATACAATAATACTTGCTTATTTTCAGTAATTTTTGTGTATCTACCATGGCGAATTTAGATTCGCTAAAATAAACAGAAATATTAGGCGGCCATATTCAAAATGGCGCTTAAGGACACAAATCAACGAGAAGTTGGTAACACTGAACGAACAATTCATCAATTCACTGCCATTGTTTAGTTGGCTCGACGCAATAGTGCGGTGCAGTTGTTTAGCAAGGTCAATATATCTCTCCACTGGTAAGTCGTAAAATTTATATAATTCACTTAATTTATTTTGTATTTATTGATTAAATTCAACAGTAGTGTAATAGTTGAAGAATGACATATTATTAATCCGAAATTATCGTAGATCAGTCAAAAAATTTAAGTTAGTGAAAAAAACGTCTCTCCCCTGCCATATTTCCCCAGGCGAGATACTTACTGACCAGGGGGATATTGTGGGTCATTAAATGTTTATATAAACTAATTCAGATATCGTTAACATTCTAATTCAGGTTTAAATAGTTAACATTATCAACTTATTAGGGGGTCATTGTAGAAGCGTGCTCGTCGCGACCCCTGCCAGCCCTTTTCAGGGCTGCAATTCTACACTGCTGCGCACCCATGCAAACGAGGGTTAGGGCGTCGCCCCAAGGCGACGCACACCAGCTCGTCCCCGTTGGTGTGGAATGCAGCGCGCAAAGCGACGATGGGGACCGCCACCCGTCACGCACAGCCCGACACGGTGGAAGGTGGAGGACGGAGTGCAGAGTTGGCACGTGGAATGTTAGAGGGGGCATGAGAGATAAGACGAATGAGTTGATCGAAATAATGAAAGAAAGAGAATTAGATGTCGTGTGTATGTCGGAGACCAAACGGAAAGGCAGTGGTACTGAAGAGCTCCCTGTCGGGACGTTAGCTATATGGTCCGGAGTCCCGGAAAGCGAGAACGCCTGCCAGGGAGTGGGGGGTGCTGCTGTGGTTCCGGTTGGTCGATCTTATGACTGAATATAAGGTTGTGAACTCAAGACTTCTCTGGGTTCGCTTTAAACTGGGACTGACGAAGTTATTTCTTATGGCTATTTATGCGCCGGTAGCTTCGTCGTCCAGGGCTGAGCTGGAGGAGTTTTGGGAGAATGTAAGAGAAGTTCTAGATTTGGTTAAGGGAAACGAAAGAACTGTTGTATGTGGTGATTTGAATGGACGGGTAGGTATCGCTCGACCAGGATACGAGTCGGTGCTTGGAAAGTTTGGCGATAAAAGGGTTAATGATGCTGGCAAGCTTATACTGGCTGTATGCAAGGAAAAGGGTCTTCTTGTGACAAACACTATGTTTAATCACAGGAAAATCCATATGTACACTAGAGAAAGAAAGAATGAGAGAAGTATGATTGATTTAATCCTGGTGGATGACCGACTGCGAAAACAGGTGATGGATACACGAGTGTTCAGGGGTGCTGACCTGGGAACGGATCACTATCTAGTAATTACTAGATTTAGGGGTTTGTTCGCGGGTTGGCGCTACCGGACGGCAGTAATAGAACCACAGTCGGTCTGTCGCATCCGAAGCTGGAAGCTTCAGGAAGCGGATACTAAGGAAAAATATCACACGAGGGTAGCCTAAAAGCTTGACACCATCGATGGCAGGAAAGAATGTGTGGAAAGAACATGGCAGAACCTTAGGGATGGAATGGTAAGTGCAGCGGAAAAAGTATGTGGAACGACAAAAAGAGGTAGTAGTAAAAGAAGAGATGCATGGTGGAATGATGAAGTGAGAGAAGCTGTAAAAAAGAATAAAAAAGCATGGTTAGACTTCTTGGCCTCTAGTAACGATAAGCGTATGAGAAAGAAGATGAAAGAAAGATATAAGCTGCAGAAAGTTCAGGCGAAAACACTGATTGAGGAAGTACGTGAAAGGTGGAGAATAGAAGCGGAAGAAAGGTTGTCGCACAACTTTAAGGAAAACTCCAAACTCTTCTGGAAAGAGGTTGGAAGGTCCCGGAGTGGTGCGACAGCCTTAAGAATGAACAAAGTGCTTTCGAGAACCAATGACGTCCTCTCAGAAAAATCGGACGTCATGCAGCGATGGAGTAAATTTTATAGAGAAATGTATGCGTGTCATGAGCTTAGTGAAGGATCCGGGGGTGACGCCGTGACTGGCACGCCAGACACGGACTTCGATGACACTGAGGTCATCAGCATGAAAGAGATTGAACGTGCGATTCAAAGTTCGAAATGTGGTAAGGCTGTGGGACTAGACAGAGTTACTGCTGAAATGGTCAAGTACGATGGGCCTCGCGTCTGGGACAGCTTTCATCTGCTGTGCAATTTGTGCTGGCGGACGAGAGGTGTCCCGGATGATTGGCGATCCGCGGTCATTGTGCCTTTATATAAACGGAAAGGTTCACATTTTGAATGCGGGTGCTATCGGGCAGTCAGCTTGACCAGTTTAGCAAGTAAAGTTTACTCGAAGGTTTTGACGCGTAGGATGCAAGAGAAATCGGAAAGATTTTTATGGGAGGCACAATGCGGATTTAGACCTGGAAGAGGATGCACGGATCAAATGTTTTCTCTCCGCATGATCACGGAGAAGCTTCTGAGTGTTAACCAGAAGATTTTCTGTGCTTTTGTGGATCTGGAGAAAGCATTTGATAAGGTTATAAGGAAGAAAATGTGGGAACTGTTGCTGGAATATGGTGTGGATGGTCGATTGTTAAGGGCTGTGCAGTCACTTTACTATACTGTAAAGCCTGTGTGCGGGTAGGGCATGCCTGTCACCCATGTTTAGCGTCAAAGCGGGTGTAAAACAGGATTGTGTCATGTCTTCCTGGCTGTTCATACTGTATCTCGACAGCTGTTTACAGAAGCTGAAAAATAGCTGTTTGGGTGTGAAATTGGGTGACATTAAAGTTAATTGTCTGCTGTATGCTGATGATGCAGTGCTTATTGCACCATCAGAAGCAGAACTGCAGGCATTAGTCAGGTGTATGAAAGAGGAATTTGAAATTAAAGGTCTCCGTTTGAATGCTAATAAAACTAAGGTTCTGGTATTTGAAAAGGACGAAGAGAGAACGAAATGTGAAATATGGGTAAATTGTATACTTGGGGAGTGCTTTCAGCCGGGATGGAAGATGTGATTTAGATGTGGACAGGCGTGTCGCTGCCGGGAACAAAGTCAATGGTGCCCTGAATGCGTTAGTGAAAAGGCAAGGCGTAGTGAAGAGTGCACGCCTTGCAATACATAACGCAGTGTTGGTGCCGACTTTGTTATATGGCAGCGAAACCTGGGTATGCCAGAAGAAGCATAAAAGCAAGTTGAATGCAGTGGAGATGCGATCTCTTCGTAAAATGTGCGGCGTTACCATAGCCGACCGAAAGCGAAACGAAGAGATTCGCAATATGGCAGGATTGAAAGATGACCTTATCACAAAAATTGATAGGGGCGTACTCCGATGGTTTGGGCACGTTGAGCGAATGAGTGAAGACCGAATGGTGAAGAAAATATATAGCGCGAAAGTAAATATTAAAAGGTGTCGAGGTAGACCGAGACTAACTTTCGAAGACCATGTGAGCAAATTACTCGAAAAGGGGAAGGGGAAGGGGTGCATCTATGAAGAAGTTAATGAACATGAAAGAAGCGAAAGAGGTATGTAAGGATTGTGACACTTGGCGATCTGTTCTCTCTGGCTACCCCGTTAGGGATTGTGCGTGAAGATAAGTAAGTAAGTAACATTATCAACTTATGTAAAAAATAATTAAAAATCATTACTGTACATCTGCATATTATAAAGTATATTGTAGATATACAGTTTGTATTAAGTGAATTTTTTTATGATCTGATTTTAATGATATCTTGAGATTACATTGTTGTTTATAATATTGTTACAGATGAGAATGAGCTAGCAGACAGAGATATTTATATAA